TGGACTAGATGACCCACAGAGGTCCCTTGCAACCCCTACCATTCTGTGATTCTGTGATGGAGATTGGAGACAGGTAGTGTCCCTTAGAAGTCCGTATTGGGACTGATGTTGTTTAATATTTTCATCAATGACTTGACAGTGTGATAGAGTGCACCCTCAGCAAGATTGCAGATGACACCAAGCTGAGTGGTGCTGCTGACATGCCAAAAGGATGGGATGCCATCCAGAGGGACCTGGACGAGCTGAAGAAGTGCGTCTCTGTGAACATCAGAAGGTTCAACAAGGCCAAGGGCAGGGTCCTGTACATGGATCCGGGCAACCCCCAGTACCGATACAGGCTGGGGGATGAAGGGATTGTGAGCAACACTGCTGAAAAGGACTTAGGGGTATTGGTGGATGAACAGCTGGACATGAGCTGACAATGTGGGCTCGCAACCCCGAAGGCCAACCATATCCTGGGCTGCATCAAACGCAGCGTGGCCAGCAGGGCAAGGGAGGGGAAGTGCATAGTGGCGGGTGTGGTTTTGCTGACCCCCCTCTTTACTCCATCAAGAAGTGAGAACTCTGTCAGTTCATGGTGAGTAAGCAAGTTAGCTATATAAACATGTATGAGTAGTATACTGGAACACAAAACAGCAACTCTTCTTACATTTTGACTGATTTTTTCATAACAAAAACTTACCAAAAATCTAACTTTAGCCACTTTTTACATTATCAAGCATAATAAAGATCATAAAAGATGTCCTATACATTATTATCGGTCAATGTGTACTCCATTCTTTTATGCTTGTAACAGTTTTTGAAGATATTATAACCTCTGGAAGTTCAAAAGTGATCCACTCTTCCTTGTGACTCCCCAGACTTCAAGATCCATCCAGGTTGTTACTGCTTTGGCAGGATGACCGAACACTGCACTGTTGTCTGAAATACAAAGTTAAAGTAGATGAATTCTTCCTCTGCCAATGCAGAGCAGAATTACTTATCAACGTCAAGGCAAACTACATAGCTTCCATTTGGATCACAAACAGATGTAACTCCTTCCATGTGCGTAGTACCTGCAACTTTCTCCACCACCACAAAAGCTAAAAGAATTACAGGGAGGGCATAAGGCACAACAGTTCAAGGATTTGTCATTACAGCTTTTAAAACCTATGTAACAGGCTTATTGGTATCGAAAACAACAATTTGTATTGCGTTTGCGTGGCGAGGTTTTAGTACCAGGGGGTGCTACAGGGGTGGCTTCTGTGAGAAGCTGCTGGAAGTTTCCCCTATGTCCGACAGAGTCAATGCCAACTGGCTCCAAGAGGG